TAGCAGAGTTATACAGATCATGGTAACCGTAAGAGATCAGCTTGTGTTTAGGCTTAACTTGACAAATGATGGGAAATTGCATATATTTTCTCCGGCACTTATTATACTGCATGGTCTCAAACATTTCACTGAAAAATTTAAACCATAAGCATCTTCTCATTGTAAGTGGCTAGGCTTGCGTTCACTGTCAAGACATTATAGGAGCTGATGAAATCCAATCTAAGTATACTACAGTGTATATTGGCATTCAAACAGGACCACCAACATCTTTGTAAAAGAAACACTGGAGTAAAATAAACTCCAAGTCCAGCACTGGCCTTTGAACGGAAAAAAGAGGTTTTTTTTGTCTTTTAGCCTGACTATATTTTGAATGTGAGCATATTTCACGCTGTCCGTTAAAGTCAGCACATGTTCCTGCAGAAAAGAAAACTGCCTCAGGGAAGGGAACAGATGGGAATTGATTAACTCATTACAAATTAGTTGTGTTCAGTGGACAAAATTCTGTGATATGTCAAATGAAGCTTCTTTAGAAGATAGACAGTGGAAGCCAGTCTAAGTCTCACTGAAATCAGTGGGATGAGACTGGAGTAGCTCTGCACAAGAATTGCAATGGAAGTATATCAAAACATACCACTGAAACAGAACCAAAAATATTTAGCTGTAAGTTGAAGAAAGGCTGGTAAATCAGAATTGACTCAGACACACAGGAATCTAAATGGTACAGTCCTCTCATCAAATGTAGATGGGGGACTGAGCAAATCTTCAGTCTAGTATTCCCCAATCCAGCTGTATGTACCAGGAAGAAACAAAAAATAATAATAATGGACACATAAAAGTAACCCCTCTTATGAGAAAGTTTGCTTATGATGAATGTTAGAAGTTATTCACAAATATAACAAGTTAAGGGTCATGAGATGAATAATGTTTGGGTTCTCATTGATGACTGTGATAACTGCCTAAAGTGGCAATAGCAAAGGGGTGGTCTGATGCAGATAGTATTGCTGCTGATATGCCATCTGTGCATGGATCATTTGGTTTTTTTTAATTGGCATGTACATGTCTGATTTATAAAAAAAGATTCTGGGGCACTGAGAAAGGACAGCTGGCAACAAATGAGGAAGTAGTTGGCTAAAGAGGGGTGGCCTGACCGGCAGTAGAAAGTGCTGTCAACTTGCAGCCAACTGATGGCTTTCAAAGCAAGAGACAGGCAGAGTTGGTTTGCCATTGCCTGCCTCTGCATAGCAACCCTGGACTTCCTTATAGTCTCCCATCCAAGTGCTAACTAGGAACAACGTTACTTAGCTTCCAAGATTGGAGCAATCAAGCTAAGCTTAGCTATCTAGGTCAGGGTTCTGGACTGATTACCAGACAGTTATCCAAGGGGGATCGACACACCTATGTATGGGGGAGGAGCTACTTCTGGATGAGTGATTGGGTAAGTGGCAAAAAGGGGCACCTTGAAGTGTTTCTCCATTTTAGATACCTTCAAAATTGTCTACATTTGGAATTCCACTGGGAGCTGGGGTTGGAACGGAGAAATTCCTCTGAAAATAGCTGTTTATTTTTACAAAATGCCTTTAATACTACATGCATTAGTGTGTACCATTTAGTTTGACTCTAAGATGTCAGTGTAAATGCACATGGAATGGGAGAGTTGAAGTGAGGTTTCAAGTAAGTCAGACAAGGTGGATAGCTCACCACAAAATGTAAATGCAACTGTTCTTCCCATCTATTGGTCCTTCACTTAATCTCTTTCTCATAAAGTTAACAATTCTACCACTTTGCATATTCAGAGACTTTCCTGTCACTATTACTGAAGCCAAGGTAATGCAGTGTTTTGGAAAGTTGTATACTCCAATTGTACGCAGGCATTTACCTTTCACTCTGTATATCTGGTTCTATTTTCCCTCCCTCTAATACTGCTACTATGAAACAAGAACAAAATATATAGGTCCAGATGCCTGCAGTCTATGATAGATGATGTTGATAACAATTGTAGTAATAGTATTCATTATTATAAGCACCTTTGGAACTAGGCTTTGTACAGTGATTGCATTAAAAAAGAATAAGCCATGTTTAGGCTTACAGTAAAAAAAGACAACATTCATAAGCAATGGAAAGACACATCAAAGAAGGAAAAGGAGGAGGGGGGGAGAGTAGAGGTCAAAGGCTTGATGGGAAAAGAGACGTCTACAAACAGCCAGAAGGAAGGAAGTTTGAGAGAAAAGGTGCAGTGTGAGAGAGAGAATGAGGCATGAAATAGAAGTAGTAACTCAAGGGTTAGTTGAGAAGAGAAAGCAGAGTAAAGATGACAGAAATAAAGAGAAAGAAGGGTTGATACAATGTATTGAATAAACAAATGAACAAAAGCTGGAAGTTTAAAGGGGATCTGATAAGATAAAAGAAGCTAATGAAAGGATTGTAAGGAAAGAGAAAATCAATAAAAGTGGTGGTGGGGAAAACAAATGGGAAGCATACATCAGAATGAAATAAGGAAGTATAGGAAATCAGCAGGGATAGGAAAGAGCAGGAGCGCACAGGAGCGGAGCTCCGGCAGTAAAGAGCCCAGGGGGCGGGCACATGCAACAAGCCCCACCCCCTGCTCCCAGCAGCCCTCAGTCAGAGCAAGAAGCAGCCAGGTAAGCTGCAGAGGGCCCCCCCAGCCCCCCAGTCCAAAGCAGTCCAGTGGCACCTTTAAGACCAAGTATTATTCAGGTACAAGCTCTCCCTCTTCTGCGAGGACAAATCTGCATGGCCCCCCCCCCCAATAGCTAGCAATCCAAAACAGTCCAGTGGAGCCTGAGTGGTGGGTGTTGCCTTCTGACACACTTCTGGTGATGTCAAGGGGTGTGGCATATGCAAATAAGTTATGCGAACAGGTTATGCTAATGAGCTCCTGCACCTCTTTTTCTACGAAATGACCCCTGGAAATAAGAGAAATAATAGTCAAACAAATAATGAATAAGAGAACCTATGTGTCTACAGTAGGGAAAAAGGGGGAAATTTCAGGGATATTTGAACGTTAGAATTGGCAAGTTCCTTAACAGCTTAAATAAAGGGAGGGAAGGACAGAGAAGAATTTGAGGTGTTCAAAACTTGGGAAGTAAGAAGACACGAAGTTCACATTAGTAGCCTGCTCTCGCAAGAGGGCAGATGCTACACTTTCTTTCTGCTAAGCTCCAGTTCCGCAGGAGCAAGAGTCATCATTTGTGGAAGGGAGTTATGGGATCCAACCTTGTTGTTCATTTGGGCCTGAAAGATAATAAGGCCACCTGAAGGTGAATCTTAATCACTACAATCACCAAATGAGTAGTCATTTGCAGACCTGCATTACAGAACAGACACAGTCAACACACTGGAAACAAGGCATCTATCTTTTCCAGTAATGACAGAAACATCTTAAAGATCTGAGGAGCAGGAAGACAGACTGGTTGAATATTCAAGAGCTGAGGAGGCTCTCATACCAACTTGCAGAGGAGAGAGGAGTTGTTTGGGTGTTACTTGGCACTAGGCAAAATGCAGAGTTATTGATCAGCTCATATAAAGCTGGATACAATTGGAGAATTCAGACAGACCTTACTCTGTCTCCTGGTGTAACACTTTGAGCTTAATAACCCAGCATTCTGGAAATATTCCCTCCGTAGCAGTGCCTACTTGCTATAAAACAACTGTTGGCATCTGCTATTACAGTTAGGACATAAGAGTGTGAAATGACTATGGGCTTTATTACAAGAGAAACTAAAATCTCTGCTAAGCAAGGAAGATGGGAGTGCTTGGAAATTTGAGGCGGTCTGGTATGGATCACACGAGTGAGGTTAACAGAGCCGTATCTTCAGCAAGCAGCCAAAAGTGAAGTAAAACAGCCTCTGTGTGGCTGCAGCAGTTTGTGATTCACAGAACTGCATTCACAGCCCTGTTCCAAACGGCTTGCTCCGAGTCGCTGTTTATTTTTAAGTTTTAAAAACAAGAAGCTCTGTATGCCATTTCTTGCTAGAGGACAGGGAACTGCAGGTAAAAAGCCGTTAATCCCCAGCAAGCTGCTGGGCAGGCTAACAGTCAGAGATGACAAACGTTAATTGGAAACATGAGCGGAGTAACAGAAGAAATGCTTGCGGTAATTGGGATGTAACGTCTCCACGAGAGAAACTTTGCAAGGACTGACTTTTAGCAAAGCCAGTTGCCCTCACTAGGTGAGTAAGCGAGTTTGATTCTTAAACTCTCTTTTGACGCTGAGCTCCGTTCTCTGGAAACATGCAAGCAAAATGACATTAATGAAAGAGCTGGGCTCACCCAGGAAGCATTTTCAGGGAGCTCATCTTATTCATTCTAGTTTCCACTATGAGATGTAGCATTTGTGATTGCTGCCTGAGGGAAGATATGATCAGCTTAAATTTTATGGATTGGCTATGAGTCAGTTTTGAACTGGAATCTTCAGCTGAATATGCTGTTATCTGAAGGATTTTGGTTTTATTTTCTCTCTCCCCCCCCCCCTTTTTTCTTTTTTTTTACCTTTTTTTTTTTGCTTCATGTTACTTTTGGGGATCTTCCCAAAAGCAAGCTTTAGAAGAAATAATTTTGTTCTGTGTAAAGAGGACTGCTTGGGTTGAAAAGTTTTTATGTTCCAAAAAACTATTCTAAATAATACTTATCTGATCCTGACTGAGCATTTTTGTTTGTGCATTTCTTTTTATGTGGTGGTTGTTAGGTTCGAAAAGACATATATATTTATTATTTGGTAAGAGCCTAAAAGTTGACTAGGCGATGTCTAACGATAAGAAACAGATGGTCCCTGCCCGCGGGTTTATATTTAAAAAAGGGAAAGCCTGAACAGCTTTTGCTTTTGGTAATCTTGTTTGAAATGTCATAGTTAATATGAAATGTTACCTAAATATTGTTGCTGCTACTAAGCACCACCTTCTTTTACTAGAAAAGCAAACTGGTTATTTTCGGAAGGCAAAACCAAAACATCAGATCTCTTGTCCCTTTCCCCCCCCCCCCAGAGCCAACAGACAATTCGGCCTCTCAGTCCACGGGAATGAATGAAAATGCATCACCTTCAGTTCAAAGCAGCAGTAGCAACAATGCCGCTGGTTGCAATATCTCTTCCGCCATCCCTCAGCCCGGCACTGCTGTTAAGCCCTGGCGCAGTAAATCCCTCAGTGCTAAGCACACTGCCACGTCTTCCATATTATCAGTAAAGCAGCCGGTTCCAGAGTCTCCGAAACCCCCTCCAGAGATGGTGAAGACGACTCCCAATGGCCAGAAATCCATGCTTGAGAAACTGAAACTCTTTAACACAAAAGGTGTCTCCAAAGCAGGAGGGTCATCCCTTGAATGTCCGGGGTCCCGAGACACTAGTTGCGAAAGACTGGAGATCCTTCCTAGCTTTGAAGAAAGCGAAGGGATGGATGCTGCAAATCGGAATGTGAGCAACCCGGGACAAACGTCTAATAGTCCCAAAATTGCACTCAAGGGAATTGCACAAAGAACTTTTAGCCGGGCACTGACCAATAAGAAGAGTTCCCCAAAGGGCGGTGAGAAAGAGAAACAGAAGGATAAAGAAAAGGAAAAAAACAAAGACACTGCAAAGAGAACCTCAGTAGCTGAGAAAACAGAGGTCAAAGAGGAGCCGAAAGAAGAGCACACCCTACCAGCCACAACAGAGATGCCAAAAAAGTCCTCCAAGATCGCAAGCTTTATCCCTAAAGGTGGGAAGCTGAATAGTGCCAAGAAGGAGGCTGCTGCTCCTTCACAAAGTGGAATACCAAAACCAGGAATGAAAAACACCACAGGGAAATCCTCAAGTGCCCCCAGTTGTTCTGCTAAGGAAGGCGAGAGAAGCCGCGGTGGGAAGCCTGCTTCGGGCCCTTCTCAACAGAAGTCTCAGCTAGACAGCCGGAATTCCAGTTCGACATCAAGCTTGGCCTCCTCTGAAGGGAAAGGGGTGGTAGGGGTGCCTGCTCTGACTACCAGCAGTAGCATCCAGGCTGTCAGTGGGCCAACAAGTACCACACAGACCACAGGAAGCAATACTGTGAGTGTTCAGCTACCTCATCCACAACAGCAATACAGCCACCCAAACACTGCCACCGTAGCACCGTTCATGTACAGGTACGAGTAACTTTTTAAAGCACGCCTCTTTCTAAATATTCAGGCTCTTCTGTTCATCCTGTGGGGGAATGAAACGACATTGACTGGTTTGAATTTGTTTTTAAAAGCAGCCTAAGCCTTAAGGTCCATAAGTCTGTGCAACTGAAAACCTTCTAAAAGCAGCATTCCCATTCATAGGGCTGAATGTTTGTGTTTGCAAAGGCACTGAGCCCACGTGACTCTAATGTGTGTAGATGGGGGATGGGCCCAGTGTGCTGAGTCACAAGCTACTGGCTAGTCCAGCATGGTCAGTTTTCATCTCTCTCTATGCTCATTGGCCTTCTAACCCTATATGTCATTTGTACATAGCTAGTGCTGCAATAGCATACTAGAGGAATGGCATAAACCCTCAAATGGGCACTCACAAGGAGGGACTGGTTTGCACTGCAGTCCGTACAGGGGGAGATAAAGGTCTGCAGTGTTCTGAACCACAGCTACTGAAGGGCTGCCCTGATTTGTTTGTTTGTTTGTTTAGGCCATTTAGCCTCCAACTTTTCTCCTTGACAGGGACCCAAAGAGGGCTTAGAAAGGTGTATCTGTGTGTGTTACCTAAGTGCAATTTAAATAAACAACCAATTTAAACAAATAAAATACAATTCAGAGAAACAAGACTCTGAAGGTCTTTGGGTGGCCTTGGCCTCAAGTGTCTCACCACTTGTTGTGAGGCTAAAATACCACTTTGAATTCCTTGAAGGAGGGGCAAGATACAGGTATAACAGTGAAGCAAATTGATGACAACTTGACACAAACAGTCTGCATTAGGTTCCTTAACCTGAATTCTGTTGTCGTCAATGATTCTTGGACCCTGAGCCACCAGTACAGGTTGTTGGCCAGAATGAAGACTTGACATAAAACTCAAGGTATCTTAAAGGCTTGTACAAGGGCCTGAGAAGCCTGTATTTGACGGTAATTTTTTTTTTTACAGTTCATTGCTTGTTTCCATTTCTAGGACATAGCTCAACATGGGACTAATGAATTATGTAAAGTCAGTCTGCTGGCGTATCCTGGGGAGAGGGCACAATGTGAGATGGCAAGTCCTGGTGCTGGAATTCTTTTTGGTGTAATGAATGATTACATCTCTCTTTCTGTGTCTCCGTTTTGCATTTTAGATCGCAGACAGACAATGAAGGAAATGTAACGGCCGAGCCCAGCATTGGAGGGGTGAGCATGAGCATGGATTCTGCTCCATACACAAAAACGAGTCAGCCTATTCTAGAAGATCTTTCAGGTAGGACTCAAAAGACAGTGAATTTGGTAGTTCTCTTAACCTGCTGCAAAAGAATAAAGACAGGGCTAAATGAAGTCTCTGCCACTCTCTCCTCTGCGATGGAAGGGGTTTTTAATGTCTGTTTCTTCTTGGGCTTCATTTTGGTAACTCAAGCCAGACAGTTACTGAGCACCTTCAGAATGCTCAGAATCTTACAGGATGTGGCCTAAAGAACCAAGCATTATGTTGTGCATTGGCTGCTGTTTGTTTAAAGGGTTTTGTCAGCTTTTCAAAAGCATAATGGCACAGGCAAACATTTCTGTTTATGTTGAAGTTTTGGGAAATGACAACATACATTCACCGAATCTCATTTTCATTTCATAATTTTTTAGATTTCTGGGTTTTATTCAGCCTGAATTAGGAATTTTAGAAAAGATGTTAAGATCTTTGAATCTGGGGCATTAATTTACTCATTGGCTGACCCCTATTCATTTACGTATGGTGATCTTTCACATATTTAAAGTTAGAGTTTTGAATGTTTTGATTTTTCTACATTAATCAGTGTCACACAAAGGTTTTCTGATCAGAATCAAAATCAAAATTGGCAATATGTGTCATGAATATTCAAACTCTGAAATTAGTTAATTATAAAATATTTGTAAAAAGGTGTATGCTGCTGTGTTTAAAAAGAACATATTTTAATTAATGTAATTCCATAGTTGTGGGAACAAATCACAGCTTCCTACAGCTTCGGCAAATGAGAATAAAATCGCTTAAGTATTCCTTGCCTCACAGCATGGTTTCTGTTATAAGAAATACTTGGGTTTCTGGTGTATAACCTGTCCCCTTTTGCTGACTGACAGTGCAATCCTAAATAGAGGCATAAGACAAGTATAATTTCACTGGTCTTCACAGGAAGTAACTATGTTTAAGCTTGCACTGTCTGTCACCTTATGCAAACTGGTACGTATATGATGGAGCTGCGGTGGCTCAAGTGGTTAAGACGCTGAACTGCAGGCTGTGGAAGGTCGGTAGTTCAGCAGTTCGAGACCCGAGTGTGCCGCATGACAGAGTGAGCTCCCGTCCCTAGTTCCAGCTCCTTCCAACCTAGCCGTTCGAAAACAAGAAATTGCAAGTAGATAAATAGGTACCACTTCAGTGCGCCTTGGTGTTTAGTCATGCCAGCCACATGACCACGGAAAAGTCTTCGGACAGCGCTGGCTCTTTGGCTTGGAAACGGAGATGAGCACCGCAACCCTAGAGTCGGATTCAACTGGCTTTCGAGCAAGGGAACCTTTACCTTTACTTTACATATATGATGAAAGTGACTTAGGTTCATTTTGGAAGAAAGCTAAGAATAAGTTCTGTCTACATGTGCCTTTATAAATAGATACGTTTTACTGGTGGACTCTACAAGAAATATGATGTCTTCACACACATTTTGAATATAGACAGTTTTCCTAGCACCTACTCAGGTTGGTTTTGACCTATCCGGCCTTAAAAAGCTTGTGCCTGGCACGCTTTAGAGATTAGCTTCATTCTCATGTTCCATCATGAATTCAAAATCAATCAACAACAGCTCTTTTGGTGCTTTGGCAAGACAGCTGTTACACAGAGAAATTATCAGTGGCTACTTCCTGGCTGTTCAACACTCTCCCCATAGTGTTTCCCCAAAGTCTTAGCTTTTATTTTGGCTTGCCTGTGGAGGCAAGAAAGATGGAAGTCTGGGTATTTAATTTTTCCCCCTGTTTTAGCTTACTTCATTTGTTATTAATAAGGGAGTTGACATGCATTTTTTTCATCTGTAGGTACTCATTCCACACTTTGGATAGAGTGGATTGTTTAGATTAGGAGATTAGCTATCTAGAGTATGTACACTACTTTTGGAACTACTGCTAACATGTTTTTACTTGCAAGTACTCAGCTGTACATATAGAAACATACATCGGCATATATCCAGAAGTGAAAGGTATATAGTGCTCTCATTTTAATATGAGAAAAAAGAGGTAGTTGTACTGCCTGGCTTCTTGGGCAAACTAGGACAGGACATGTTGTACCCCCAGTTCTCCTTCCAATGACATCCTCAGTTTAACTACTGTACTGTGAGTTCTAGCGCTTCATCCTTTGATAGCTTTATCAGACTGAATGACATTACATATTAAAGACTAAATCTTACCTAGGTCAATGACCACCTAAAATGATTTTTCACTTTTGACCTGTGATCCTTATATGATTTGTGACAATTTTACCTTTTCTAATTTGGAAGAATTGTAGGTTTGTTATTTAAAAAAATTAAGAAATTTAATACAAAGCTCAAATATTATACAACATATATGTAGATAAAAAACCCAAGATGTGGGGGAAGTAAGATTCTTTGCCAACAATTTTTATTATAAAAGTGAGGGAACAGTTACACATTTTTCAAGAACAAGGAGACCTGTGGTCAGTAAAGATAAATATATTTTGAGTCCCAGCAGTACCATGCATATGCAGCTCCAAAATGGAGGAAATTCTCTCCCCTCCCCCTCCCCCCCAGCTCTCTGGTTTGGCTTGGGGGAATTATGTATGAGGAGGTAAGAGACCCTCCTTCCCCACTGCAGCAGTTCTGAGCCTATTCGGCTCCTGCTGGTTTTTAAAACCACATTCTCTGCAGCTGTTGTTTGGCTGTGGGGAAAGTGCAATGCCAAAAAACATATCATGTACTTTGTCCCTTAGTCTGTTGACTTCAGTGGGGATAAAAGGGTGTAACTCTGCTTAGGATGGCACAGCAAGTCTCACATTGCAGATTCTGTGCTGGTTCTAGCATAATATTGCTGCCTTCTCAGTTTGCAAGTGTGTTCATAGATTTTAAATAGTGTACTATCAGAAAACACAGATGCCTCTTTATGGTTAACTCTTTCTTGATGATCATGTATTGGAATTTAAAACCCATTATGACTGTGGAGAGCTAGCTTATGTCTGTGAGTATGTTTTTGTCATCAGACTGTCAATAAAAATGATTTCATTTCATGGGAAGTCTCTTCTTCAGGGAGCAGTGAAACTCAGCTGTTCAAAAAGAGCAAAAGGCAGGAATAAAAACCAAATACAAACTTGCAGATCTTATCAAATGGATATTGGCCCAGGCATTCTCCATTACAAAACATTTCCATGCTAATAACATGACAAGGAAACAAAAACATAAATAATCAATGAGAATAATATTTTACTACCTAAAGGCTAGTACAAGGGAAGCTCATGGCAGTGAAGTTAATACTATAATACTGTGCCTCACTGTAGACAGAGCTACACTAGGCAACGTCTAGTAATAAACTGAATTCAGCATGAGAGGGTATTAAATAATGTAAAAGCAGGAAATTACATTGGACTTGGAACCACAATGAGGGGTGGCTGTACAACTCTTTTGATTGGTAATAATATATAGTTTATGTTTTTGTCTAAACTTACGTTCTTCCATAGGGGAAGATCCAGAAACCCGGAGACTGCGAACTGTCAAGAATATTGCTGATCTCCGGCAAAACTTAGAGGAAACCATGTCTAGCTTACGGGGAACCCAGGTCTCTCACAGGTAGTGGCATGAATTGTTTCTCCATTCATACAGCAATGGGACTTTGTGTTGCCCGTCCTTGACTTCAACTCTGTTTGCTTCCGAGAAATGATTAAGAGTGATATGATGGACATTAAGTTGACAAAGTGTGTATTGTGCTTTATTCTTTTTTTTATCTGAAAGCTCAGATTCTAACCAACTATTACCAAGACTGATGAAGAATAACTTTAGTAGTGGAAAGAACCAGAGAGAGAAAACTCTGTTGAAGCCTGGAGCCAGAGCAGTGCCTGTTAAATGCTTTAGGTGGTGCTTGAATAGAGATGTGCAAAGGTTACCCCTGAAAATGCTGCTTAGGTTTCCTCATGAGAGACTTCAATGCATTTTAAACAAATCTATAATTGTGTGTTTAAACAACCAGATGAACTGTGTTTGACCTATTTGATAAGGCACATAACTTGAATTCCTACCTACTCTTTGGACAAACAGAGTCTTATAATTTTATTAGTAATATACACAGGTATGATTTTTAAAAGAAAAGCAGCTGTTAGGAATGACCAGGAAAATTTCAGGGATATTAACACACACTCGAAAAAGTCAGTTTATTACATTTTAGCATTTAATGAGCTTGCAGTTTTAAATGTATATCAGGTTGTTTTGTGGAAAGTAGGTGACCACATCAAGAAAGCAACCTGGTGTGATTATAAAATGCCTGGGTTCCTATCAAAATCAGACCCCCAGATCAATTCACCGCTTGCAGGTTTACGTGACCATTAAGTCATGTTCCATGCAGAACATCAAAGCTGCCAAAAATTCTATAGAAGGCTTATTATTGGGCCAGGCAGTTTGAATGAATCCACTTTGACTGTTTTTAGCCAAATTACATATTATGTTATGCACCTAGGAAGTAAATTTGAGCAATGAAAGAAAATCCAAAGACTTTTGAGCTGAGAGAAGCATGTGGCTAGAGTCATAAAATGCTCTTACTGCTCCCTATAGCAGGGAGACTGCTATATTAGCCCTCCATAAGATACATGCTGTCCAAATATACTTGGATTTTTTTGCTAGAAAATTTAAAAATCTGTATATATTTAATCCAACTTCATAATGAAAACATAGTAAGTAGTCTATATTCTAATACATTATCAGTATGTGACATGGTGAGATTTGACATTTGTAAGAGTTAACTAGCATACCAGGTTATAAGAAGTGGAATTCAAGCTCGTATTTTGACTTGCTGAGCTGAAAACACATTATTGGATAAACTTAAAATATCTTGAAATGGTGATTCTGTGTCTTAAACTACAAATGTTCAACATAACGATAAACTAAGTGATAAATCCTGCCCTACAGGATTTTTGCAGTAGGGATGAAGATTTAACTAAGTGCCTGTATCTCAAAAACCATATATCTAACTCTGAACCTGGCCCCCATGCAGACAGAAACAACTAAAGAATGGGGCCGGGTGCATACATTAATAACTTTTCTGTAGATCCCAGGTTTGCAGAAAAATCCTCCAAAGGAAGTTTAGAAAACAAGTAAAGGGCCAAAAGTTAAAAACAACAATAGATATAGACAAAAGTACGTGTGTCTATTTAAAAAAACATATAAAATAAATACAAGCTTCCTAAAGTAATCAAAGTGACAAATGCATAAAGAACCATATATGACTTGACGTGTTTAGGCGCACAGGAGCCTTCTTCAGAGATCAAATAGTACAGAATACAACATACAACAAAACCTCTGTTACACTTGTTAAGGTAGTAAACAATTGATATAGGACCAAAAATGGAATGTTCCAATCTGGAATTGAATGACACCCCCCCCCCCGCAAAAAAATAATAATTGTGGGGCCACAAATGTTGTGTCAGAAGCAATTACATATATTGGAGATAGTAATATTGCCAATATGTACCTTCCAGTTTAGGTCCTAAGAGTACAAGTAAAATTGCCTTATCAGCGCCAATGTAACATTAATATGGTCATGAGATCCCATGAGCTTCATTGTGAGGTCTGGGCTGCCATTTTAGAGAGGCCAGGATCAGCCCCTGCTGCTGTATGAATGAACGAATTAATGAATGAAATTGGATTTGCTAGGCTGCCCTTCCTTACAAGAAGAGGAGATGTATAAGTCAGGCAGGTGGAGGGGAAGCACCGGGAGTCACTCACCACTGCCTCTCCATCACCACCACAAACTGAGTGGATGAGCGAGCAGGTAGCTGCTTCTGTGATGATGGCTCTATAGCCAGGCAAGCGAGGAGAAGGAACAGGAGCCACTGCTGTCCCCTGTCATAGGAGTTAATTGGGCAAAAGTGGAGTGAGCAGGCAGGGAGAGGGAATTCCTCACCCCTGTGAGTCTCATGGCCCCCCACTTGTGATATTATAATTAGTGCATATAATTAGCACAGTCAAGTATTTTTCTGTTCCCACAGTGCTGTAGGCTGTTGGCTACACAACAAATTAATGTTGCACGTTAACACTGCTGTGGGGAAGACTGTCCTTGAGGCTATTAACTGACTGTGTCCAAAGCTGCATAAAACATGTCTCTGTTTTCATGCCCTCCCAGAAGTGCAGAGAGGCCCAGGCCACTTCCAAGTTTTGAGGCCCCTAGTCATGATAACAATAAAAAATGATGACACATGATGTGCGTAAAAACAAGTTGTGCAACTTATCAAGTAGCAAAAATTAATAAGTGTACAAATGTGAGGCCCACTTTGAGATTGTGGCCCAGGACCAAAGTTTTTCCTCCCCTCTCTGTTATCCCTGTCTTTTTTTTTCTTTCTGTTTATTAAAGCGGAAGACGGCTGAACAAGGGGTTGTGCTACCATGCAGTACTGTTGTAAACTGCAGCTTTGGATCCTGGATGCATGCCTTGCTTTTAGAAGAGGAGATGATTTTGACCAATTTCCCCCTTCTAATGTATCCCTCATGATGTTCCTGGGGCAGAATCTTAGTGAGCATAGAAGTCTGCCGCAGGAAGGGGAAGATGTGACACCTGCAGTTCATGCAGTTCAAATGCAGTTGAAAGAAACTTGCCCTATTCTTAAAAGAACAGTCATATGACTACTTAAGTCAAACAGTACCTTTGAGTCCAGTGGCACCTTTAAGACCAACAAGGTTTTATTCACGGTATAAGCTTTTGTGTGCAAGCACATTTCCTCAGATCCAATGAAATGGAAATTACCAGGCCATATATTACCAGACAGAGGGTGAGCATTAAATTAGCATACAGCACAATGAAGATGTTTAACACACTCAAGGACCAAATGGGAATAACCAGGGGTCATTTGGGGGGGGGACGCGGGGGGACGCCATCCCCCCGGGTGAGGTGCGGGAGAGCGGGGCCTGGAGCTCCCTGCTGGTGCCCGCTGGAGGTCGCCGCCAGCTGTGGGGAGGACACACTTCTGGTGATGTCAGGGGGTGTGGCATATGCTAATGAGTTATGCTAATGAGTCCCCCTAGCCCTTTTTCTACAAAATGACCCCTGGGAATAACAATCTTATTTTATAGGGTTACTCTTCATGTTTTATTCCAGGGGGAAACATAGTGAGTCTCAGTTAATTACTTTCAGCATTCCACAATTAAGGGTACATCTGCCCATCAGTCTCTAATTCTGACATATTTATTTCCTTCACTATGTTTCACATAGTGGCTCACAGCTATTAAAACACAGATAAAACAACAGAAATGTCCTACGATTGTACAAACTTAATCACAGCAAGATGGCCCATAAACCTAGGAGCATGCTCTTAGGGGTCTATAAAAATGCCCAAGATTAACGAGTAGTGGGCGCTCGCCCCCAACAGTCACTGAACATGCCAGGTAAGGGGGTGGAGTAGGGGAGGCCAGAATAACAGGACGTCTGTCACCTCAACCAAAGGCCCAGTGGAACATCTCCATTTTATAGGCCCTGTGGAACTGAAACGGATCCTGCAGGGCCTTGATCTCACTCGGGAGAGTGTTCCACCAGGCTGGAGCCAGAGCCAAAAAGGCTCTAGCTCTGGTCAAGGCTAAACAGATATCCTTAGGACTGGGGACCACCAGCAGCTGTTGCTCCAATAAGTGTAATGCTCTTCAAGGGACATGGTGAGAGAGGTAGACCTGTACATATGTAGGTCCCATAATCTTGAATTGGATTCGGTGCTCCACTGGGAGCCAATGCTGGTGATGGAGCACTGGTTGGATATGCGCTCTAAAAGGTGCCCCTGTAAGGGCACGCACCACTGCATTTTGAACCGAGTCAAGCCAAGTTTCCAAGTCAACCTCAAGGGCAGCCCAGCATAGAGTGAGTTACAGTCATCCAGCCTGGGGGGTGACCATCACATGGACTGCTGTAACTAGATTGAGAGGAGAGAGATGGGGAGCCAGTTGCTTGACCACCCAAAGATGGCAAAAAAAGCTGTTCTGGCAACAGCTGTGTCCTGGGCCTCCATAGAAAGCGAGGCACCCAGACTCCTCACCAGCACCATCAGCGTTAGTAGTGCCCCAGTGAGGGTTGGGAGCTGGATCCCTAGATTCAACCCTCCATGACTTAGGCACAGGACCTCTGTCTTTGATGGATTTGGTATCAAGCGTCTCTGTCGTAACCAACCAGCCACAGCTTCTAATGCTCTGGCCAGAATCTCTGGGGCAGCATCCAGTTGGCCATCCATCAACAGATATAGCTGGTTGTCTGTGAGGGCAACCAGAGCCGTCTCTGTCCCATAGCCAGGGCAGAAGCTGGACTGGAAATGGGTCCAGGATAGAGGAGTCATCCAGGAAAGCCAGGAGCTGCTCCACTACTGCTCTCTCAACTACCTTACCAATAAACGGGAGGTTTGACACTGGGCGGGAGTTGCCAGATCTTGAGGATCCAAATATGCTGTATGCCAATTTACTGCTCACCCTCTACCTATATATATATATGGATTGGTAATTTCCATTTCATTGTATCTGAAGAAGTGTGTGTGCACATGAAAGCTTATACCATGAATAAAAATTTGTTGGTCTTAGAGGTGCCGCTGGACTCAAACTTTGTTCTGCCGCTTCAGACCATCAAAGCTACTCACCTGACTACTATAACCTGAGATCATGCCTTGAAAAATGTCCATTGCTCTAACTTTGCTGAGTGAGTAAAGGCATGTGACAGGCAGAGGTGAGAGAGCTTGTTCTTAGGATGCCATCAGCAGCTACAGCTGTGGTCACACCTTTGTGTCTTGATTATGACTTTGCCTGCAGTGCTGTCTTTGCCTGCAGTGCTGTGGAGCTATCTGTAAACAGAAGGTAGAACTATGGAAACATATGTAGTCCTACCCAAGAGAGACATGATAGTCATGTGTCATATCATATGATGATATATTGGATAATAAATCTGCCCAGTGGTAAAGCACGTGGTTTGAATGCTGAAGGTATCAGGTTCAATTGCTGTTACTTTCAATTGAAAGAACTCACTGAGCAAGTCTGGGAAAGAGCTGAGAGAATGAATCACTACTGATTAGAATAGCAAGTACTGAGGCCCCGTTCACACGGAGGATTTGCCGCAGGAGAGCAACGAGTGCATGGCGGATTATCTGGGCGCGATCACACCGCAACATCTGGGAGGTGGAGCGCATCCGTGGCAAACCCGTGGCGTACCGCTGAAAAGGCCGCAACATCTGGGAAGTGGAGTGCATCCGTGACAAGCCGAAAAGGCAGGATTAAAAACTACCTGCTCAGAGGTACTAGCAACTGGTTTGCCTCGGGCTGCCTCCGGAGTCCCTCGGTGTGATCGTGCCAGCCGCGGCTTTTCCCTCCGGCCCCAAGTTGATGTGCAGGCGCGGAGGGAAGGAACCGTAGCGTTCCGCCGACACGTGGGATCGCGTTATGGCGGCTCTAATTGTGGCAAAAAGCCCCGCCTCCCCCCTGCGTTATCCAGCCCGTGATCGGGGCCTAAGTTAATTATATCAGCGGGTGGATTCATTAGCCGGTTCACATGTTACAGTGAAAGCGTGTACACCCTGCATGTGTGTGCATACATCTATTTGTAAGAAACAGCCAATGCATGTTCCCTTTACAAATGAAACCAGGGACAAGTACCTGGATAAATGTGAAGTTTAAGACTCAAGTTCATCTATATGTGTTTGAATGTAACATGAGAATTACTCAGCATACACATATACAGAAAAATCAAGTATACACTGTTAACTTTTGAACAAGGATGTTTTAAAGTACTCCCTTCCTACAGGCTGAATCATGGTGATTTGGGCTAATTTTGTCGACAATGACCCTCTCTCTTCCCCAGTGATTGATTATGGTATCAAGCTAGAACCCTGTCTATGTTTGAATTGACTTTACTGCACAGCATCACAGATCTAAAGATGAGGAAACTTATTCCATTAAAACGGTGTGGTACATTGGCCCCGGTCACACGGGCAGGAAACTGCGGGGGGGGGGAAGTGTGGCTGTTTGCCCCGGGGCAAACTACCGCGCGGTTACTCGATCAGACCTCCCATGGAGGTCCTGTGGAGGTACCGTGGAGGTTCCGTGGGAAGGGAGAGGCGCTGATCACAGGACAAGCTGGCGCGCAACGAAGAAGCGCGCGGTGCGGCAAACTGGTTGTCTTTTTTTCTGTACACGACAAATGCGCATGCTCCGTTGGGTGCGTGTGCGCATCCACAGGAACTTGGGGAAAAAAGAAACTTTATTTGCAAGGGGACATGGGCGGGCGCCGGATGCCACCGGAAACGCGATCAGACGCCCGCCCTTGCCCCGCAGTTTCCGGAAACTAGTACCTCCGAGGTACTAGTTTTTTGCCACGCAGTTTCAGCGGGAAGCCTCGGTTGAGCCACGGGAGTGCTACGTTTCCCAGATGTGCTGGTGAGATCGCGCCCGGAAACTCCGCCTGTCTTCCGTCTCACTTGTGTGGCTACTGTTCCGTGTGACCGCAGCCATTATAACTCAACTTAGGTGATGTTTTTGAAAACCTGCATGGCTAGGTATAATGACAGACTGTTCACAAAAAGGCCACTTTAAAAGTAATGCCCAAGGTGCCCCCGCCTGAAGCTGTTGCTAATTTCTTCAAACTACTCCTTTACCTACTCTACAAATTTGCTACAGTAGGAGAATCCCTTCATATTTACTTTAAAGTATGAAGTATTTTTAAAACATTTTTTGCCTGAAATCTACTGCGTTATCAATATCTCTTATAATCCTGTTCACTCTTTCATTCTATCCAGCACCTTGGAGACCACCTTTGATACCAATGTCACCACTGAAATAAGCGGCCGCAGTATTCTCAGCTTGACAGGAAGGCCAACACCCTTATCTTGGAGGCTTGGGCAGTCCAGTCCCCGTCTGCAGGCAGGTGATGCTCCATCAGTGGGTAATGGATACCCCCCAAGAGCCAATGCCAGCCGGTTCATCAATGCAGAATCAGGACGTTACATGTATTCAGCTCCTTTGAGAAGACAGCTAGCATCTCGGAGTAGTAATGTTTGTCATGTGGACATCTCAGATAAAGGAGGCGATGAAATTGATTTAGAAGGCATCACCGTGGATGCTACAGGCTACATGAGCGATGGAGATGTTCTGGGCAAGAACATAAGGACTGATGACATAACAAGTGGGTAAGTATATTCAAGACTTACCATTTATATTTATTGTTTCATTTATATCTCATTTTCCCGTCCAGATTGGCTCCCAGCCCCAGTTAGAACACATTTTTTTTTAAACTCATGAAAATACAGTAGATGATGTTTGGGATACATATTTATAGCCGTCTCTTCCGGTTTCTAACATCTGATGATATAGTTCAAGTTCTAGGTTCTTCCCTCCAGAGGAAGAGAATGGAAAGAGCTGAGGGTGGTTATAAAGATCATGTAGTAAGACTAATAAAGATGCACATTGTTCTAGTGAACCAAGCTAACTCACTGGCTAATGCACTGTGCTATAATCTTCTTTATGGTGCTGTGTAATATAGCCACTTATTTTTGTGATGGGTTTTATTTCTGCCAAGAGTCTCTAATGCAAATAATGTTTTGTAAGTGGAAAATCTTCTACTAGGAACGCCAGTAGCTGACAGAGATATTGGTCATTTGAATTATTTCATTTCCCGCTTCAAAGACCCGTTTCCCTGTTTTCTCAAGTTAGGGCAGGCTCTCCTGTGCATTGGATCTCTAGGAAGCACCACAGCACACAATTTGCTCCATTCCTCACCCAGTATCTGGGGATGTGGAAACATATTTAAGCAGTATGCTAGTGCTGATTTAGAATTACAGTGAGGTTCTGTTTTAAGTGGAGTAAATTTTCCTGCCACTTTCCTTTGTGCTCCAATCAGGACCTATGATGATGTGTATCCTACTTAATTCAGCCACTTTCACAGGCACTTGTATGCAGAGCTAAGACTTAATCATAGTGCTGTTCCAACTCACCTGACGTCTTTTTGAATCAAAACCTGACCTATGGGAGACCCAGTGAGCAAACCACTTATGGTGGTTTGCCCCCATTTTTCTCCAATGTTTGTCAAGACTGCAAAGCACTGAGGGAAGTTTTTTCTTCCTAAAATATCCTGTAGATGTGTATTTCTGGCAATCCTGAGATTCATACATGTCGTTGTATAAAAACAACAAAAGAGAACAACCCCTTCAAAAATTAGCTCTTTGTGGTCTGAAAGCATTTTAATGTTTTTATTTTTAACTTGAATTCTTTGGCACATGGAGGGCAAGTTTGAAAGGGCTTCCTCTTTTTTACTTTTTGTTTCTGTGAGACCTAAAAGCATGTTTATGCTGCTCAGGAAGGAAGGAAGGAAGGAAGGAAGGAAGGAAGGAAGGAAGGAAGGACCTTCAAAACTCTTCCTATACCAGCTGAAAAACACTTCTTAAAAATAATTTGGTTTTTCAGCGTGCAGAGAGCTAATTTTGAAGGTATTCCTCTCTCTTTTTTTTAGTTTCTGTGTTCTCTCTTTACTCTTTGGCTTACACTCTTGAATATTCTAATGAAATTTTGAATGAAAGATGGAGAGTAAAGACCAAACAAATTCCAATCAGGATAGAGTTGAGGTTACTTGCTCGCCTCTAGCTGCATTGTTCCCTTTACCCACAAGGGGGTGCACATTTCAACTCTTGGTGCAGAAAGTTTTGTCTGACCATGTTCAAAATCCAGACTTGTTTGTTTGTTTACAGTTTAATGTTGAAAATTGCCACTGTCTGGGAAGAGCTTTTGTACAGAACATATAGTTTATGTTGTAAAGTTGTTGAATATAGTTTGAAAGGCTTACGTGAAAGGTTTTGTCAAAAATGTGAATCAGTACTATGACGAGAGGTAGTTACTGAATGGCAAGAGGTAGAAAATGGCAGTTTTCCACAAGGTGTGTCTTTATCCTGTTGTCTTCTGCACTAGACACTGAAGCAGACTATGAATCAGACATAGACAGATTTCACTACATTTTTGGTTTTGCTGTCAAGTTGCAGCTGACTTATGACAGCTCCGTGGGGTTTTCTAGGCAAGAGGCGTTCAGAGGTGGTTTCCATTGCCCCCGTCAGCATAGCAACCCAGCTACTCCTTGGTGGTCTCCCATCCGAATACTAACCAGTGCAGACCCTACTTAGCTTCCGAGATCTGACAAGATCAATTTAGCCTGGGCCATCCACATCAGGGCTTTGCTGCAATATAGATGAAGAAGCAAAATATGCTTGTTTATTTACACATACATAGGCCTTTATGGGAAGAAATTTAACTCAGAGCAGTATACAAACTGATTTGTTGTACTGATTTCATGTACTAAATCAGATCCATGTCACCCTGATTTTCTTCCCCTGCCAAAACTGGATGAATGTATCTCAATCAGCAAGCAAGAGCTGCTTCATGTCATATATATGTATACTTGATGATTTAAAGAATAGCTGAATGTTACAGTTCATCTTGTTTAAATTAGTGAGCCAAACTATAAAGAATGCAGAAATCCATCAGGATCCCTAGCCAGTCTCATCTGGGATGAAATTCCTTTCTGGCACCACATCTAGCAATCGGCCGGACCGACTTTAGGAAGCACATCCCATATGCTGAATTTGTATGTTGCCAGATTCATACATGGAAGTGACTTCTACCTTGTCTGAGAAGTATGCCAGTCTTAAATGCATATAAACATTGGCCCCTGTCACACGGGCAGGAAACTGCAGAGGAGAAGTGTGGCTGTTTGCCCCGGGGCAAACTAACATGCAGTAAAGCGATCAGACCTACTGTGGAGGTTCTGTGGAGGTACTGTGGAGGTTCCATGGCAAGGGAGAGGTGCCGATCACAACACACGCCTGCGCGCAATGAAGAAGCGCGCGGCGCGGCGAACTGGTTTTCTTTTTTTGTGTACACTACGAATGCGCATGCTCCGTTGGGTGTGTGTGCGCATCCACGGAGACGTGGGGGAAAAAAACCCCTTTTCCGCAAGGGGACATGGGCGGGCGCCGGATACCACCGGAAACGCGATCAGACGCCCGCCCTTGCCCCGCAGTTTCTGGAAACTAGTACCTCCAAGGTACTAGTTTTTTGCTGCGCTTTTTCGGCAGGAAGCCTCAGTTGTGCCACGGAAGCGCTACGCTTCCCAGATGTGCTGGTGAGATCGCGACCGGAAACTCCGCTTGTCTTCCGTATCTCTTGCGTGGCTAATGTTGCGTGTGACCGCAGCCACTGTTTAGTTCTCCGGCAAAGGCCCTTCTGGCATTCCCAGCATCCTAAATTCAGTCATTTGATGTCCCAGAATAAGGGATGAACATAAATTGCACTGTCCACAAGTAGAAATTAAGAACATATAAGAACATAAGAGAAGCTATGTTGGGTCAATGGCCCACGCAGTCCAACACTCTGTGTCACGCAGTGGCCAAAACCTAGGTGTCATCAGGAGGTTCACCAGTGGGGACCAGAGCTCCAGAAGCCCTCCCACCATGGCCCCCAAGCACCAAGGATACAGAATATCATCATTGCACCAGACATAGTGTTTCTTCTTGTGGTCAATATCTGCTGATGGACCTCTGCTCCATATGTTTTTCCAATCCCCTCTTGAAGCTCTCTATGCTTGTAGTAGCCACCACTTCCTACAGCAGTGAATTCCACTTGTTAATTACTTTTTGGGTGAAGAAGTACTTTTATCCATTCTAAATCTACTGCTCATCAATTTCATTGTGTGCCCACAAGTTCTTGTATTGTGAGAAAGGGAGAAAAGTACTTCTTTCTCTACCTTCTCTATCCTATGCATAGTTTTGTAAACCTGTATCATGTCACCCCTCAGTCATCGTTCCATCCCCTTAATCGTTTTAGTTGCCCCTTTTCCAATGCTATAATATATTTTTTGAGGTGCAGTGACCAGAGCTATCCACAGTATTCCAAATGAAGCCACACCATAGATGTATACAGGGGCATTATGATACTGGCTGATTTGTTTTCAGTTCCCTTCCAAATAATCCCCAGCATAGCGTTGGCCTTTTTATTGCAGTTGCACAGTGAGTTGACATTTTCAGTGAGTTATCTAGCATGACTGCAAGATCTCTCTCACGGTCAGTGACCACCACTTTGGACCCCATCAACGTATTTATAGTATTTACAAGTGGAGGCCCGCAAGAAACTTGCGGGATGGTTATCTCATTCATCACACCTTTGCTTCCTCTCCTCACCCCCTACCTCTCTCACACTATTTCTCCCCTCTGCCCCCCTTTTCTTCCTCTCTATTTCTCCTCCATGCATGTGACTTCCTCTCTTTTTCTGACCTGTCATCTTTCTTATTGTTTTTCTGCCTCCCCACTTCATCACTCTTTCTCTCTCTTTTTCTGCTCCACCCCTCAAATGTCCAGGAATTTCCCAACCTGGTGTTGGCAACCCTATTTATTTATTTATTTAACAGCCAGTTTACCTTCATCTGCCTCTCTGTCTTCTGCTTTTCATCTCCACCCCCAGCCTCTACCTAGGAAAATTACAGTCTTTCTCCACAGTAGGGACCAAAGTAGCTTTCATTATTCCCTCCTCCTTTTTATCTGCACAACAACCCTGTGAGGTTGGTTAGGCTGAAATATGTGACTGGTCCAAAATCA